AATATTATTTTACACTCTGTAGGTCTAAATATTAATCAGACATTTATGATATTATTTTACACTCTGTACTCTCTGTACTCTCCCTGGGCTGCCACCTTATCGTGGTGAAGAGGTTTGAGTGTCCCAGTGATCCTAGGAGCTATGTGGTCGGGGGCTTCATGCCCCCCAGTAGGGTCACCCAAGGCAAACAGATCCTTGGTGAGGGATCAGACAAAGTGCAGCCCAAAGACCCCTATGATGAATACAATAAATGGACTGAGTGTTCCCTCGCCTGGACGCTGGTCACCGGGGCCCCACTCTGGAGCCAGGCCTGGAGGTGGGGCACTTTGGTGAGCGCCTGGTAGCCGGGCTTTCACCCATGGAGCTGTCAACTGACCACTACCTGATGGTGAGTTGGCTCCGTTGGTGGGGGAGGATGCTGATCAGACCTGGCAGACCCAAACATATAGTGAGGGTCTGCTGGTAACATCTGTCAGAGTCTCCCCTTAGACGGAGCTTCAACTCACACCTCCACAAGAACTTCAAACATGTTCCGGGGGAGGTGGGGGACATTGAGTCCCAGTGGGCCATGTTGGCTTACCTGAGTTGTGGCTGTAAGGTTGTCGGTGCCTGTTGTGGCGGCAACCCTCGAACCCGCTGGTGGACACCGGGGGTGAGGGATGCTGTCAGGCAGGTCTATTTGGCCTGTGAGACTCCAGAAGCAGCCGATAGGTATCGGCAGTCCAAGCGGATTGCGGCTCGGGTGGTTGCTGAGGCAAAAACTCGGGCATGGGAGGAGTTCGGAGTGGCCATGGAAAAAGACTTCCCTACGGCTTCGAGTCAATTCTGGTCCACAATCTGGCGTCTCAGGGGTAGAAAGCGGTTCACCACCAACACTATTTATGGTGAGGATGGTGCTCTGTTGACCTCAACAAGGGACGTAGTGGGTCGTGGGCGGAATACTTCAAAGACCTCCACAATCCTACTGACACGTCTTCCCCTGTTGAAGCAGAGTCTGAGGACCCTGGGTCAGACTCTCCAATCTCTGGTGCTGAGGTCATGGAGGTGGTTAAAAAGCTCCTCGGTGGCAGGGCGCCGGGGTGGATGAGATTCGCCTGGAGTTCCTTAAGGCTCTGGATGTTGTAGGGTTGTGTTGGCTTACGCGACTCTGCAATATCGCAAGGACATCGGGGGCTGTTCCCCTGGATTGGCAGACCGGGGTGGTGGTCCCCCTATTTAAAAATATAAATATGAAGGACCGCAGAGTATGTTCCAACTATAGGGGACACACTCTGAGCCTCCCTGGTAAGGTCTATTCAGGGGTCCTGGAGAGGAGGGTCCATCAGATAGTCAAATCTCGGATTCAGGAAGAGCAGTGTGGTTTTTGTCCTGGTCGTGGAACAGCAGACCAGCTCTACACCCTCAGCAGGGTCCTGGAGGGTGCATGGGAGTTCACCCAACCAGTGGTGTTTGTGGACTTGGAGAAGGCATTCAACAGTGTCCCTCAGGGACTCCTGTGGGGGGTACTCTGAGAGTATGGGGTACCAGGCTCACTGACACAGGCTGTTAGGTCCCTGTATGACCGGTGCCAGAGCTTGGTCCACATTGCTTGTAGTTAGTCGGACTCGTTTCCGGTGAGAGTTGGACTCCACCAAATGTTGTCCTTTGTCACTGATTCTGTTCATAACTTTTCTGGACAGAATTTCTAGGAGCAGCCGAGGTGTTGAGGGGATCCTTTTTGGTGACCTTAGGATCACATCTCTGCTTTTTGTGGATGATGTGGTCCTRTTGGCTTCATCAGATCCTGATCTCCAGCTCTCACTGGAGCGGTTCACAGCCGAATGTGAAGTGGCCGGGATGAGGATCAGTGCCTCCAAATCCCAGACCATGATCTTGAGCTGGAAAAAGGTATGGTGCCTTCTCCAGGTCGGGGAGGAGGTCCTGCCCCAAGTGGAGGAGTTTAAGTATCTCAGGGTCTTGTTCATGAATGAGGGAAGAATGGAGCAGGAGATCAACAGGTGGATTGGTGCTGCGTCTACAGTGATGTGGGTGTTGTACCGGTCTGTCGTGGTGAAGAGAGAGCTGAGCCAGAAGGTGAAGCTCTCAGTTTACCAGTGGGTCTACGTTCCTACCCTCATCTATGGTCAGGAGCTTTGGGTAGTGACTGAAAGAAGGAGATCACAGATCCAAGCAGCTGAAATGAGTTTCCTCTGCAGGGTGTCTGGGCTCTCCCTTAGAGATAGGCTGAGAAGCTCAGTCATCCAGGAGGGACTCAGAGTAGAGCCGCTGCTCCTCCACGTCCAGAGGAGCCAGTTGAGGTGGTTCATCTGGTCAGGATGCCTCCTGGACTCCTCCCTGGTGAGGTGTTCTGGACACGTCCCACTGGGAGGAGACCCAGAGGAAGACCCAGGACACACTGGAGGGACTATGGTTCTTAGCTGGTCTGGGAACACCTTGGGATTCCCCCAGAGGAGCTGGTCCACGTGTCTGGAGAGAGGGAAGTCTGGGTCTCTGCTGAGGCTGCTGCCCCTAAGACCTGACCCTGGATTAGCGGCAGAAAACGGACGGATGGACTCTGTAGGTCTAAATATTAATCAGAGGACAAAGTAATATTGAATAGTTTGTGTTAAATTGTAGCATGATTCAGCAGGGTGCTACACTCTGTATATATGCTCCACAAGCTATATGTTATCCATTTCAATAAATAACAGTGATTACATCGACTTTATAAGATTATTTTAATTTTAAATGGTTATATTATTAGCTTCAGTTCTGCTCAGATCACATTGAGCTAAATAAGATCAAATCTGCTGACTTGTGTTGTAAAATGAGACATTTTCCTGTTTATCTTCTGTTAATAAATCCATAACACAAACAGCTTTTCTGACATTATTTAAAACATTAAATTGATTATATAAACTGTAAAATATTATTAATAGTTTTAATGATTTCTACATTCTCAGCCCTCTTGCCTGTTTTTCTTCAGGCCTTAGTTTTTACAGCAGATCACGTGGTGTTACATCCCCAGTGTGGATGTTTGTTTTTTCAATTGAAGTAATGCTTTGTGTCTTCTTTTAGGCTCCGCCTCCTCACCTGTGTCTCTCCTGTGATTGGGTGCAGCTCCTTTGGTCTCCAGCCAGTCAATCAGCTGGGCCCTGATTAATGGCTGTGAAGCTGCTCTCCTGCACCTATAGGCCACCTGACCGCCGTACACCACTGATGGTTGTTCTTTATTTTACAAACTAAACTTGGTCAGACTGATTTTGTAGGGAGAGCTGCCTTTTGTTTAACCTTAGTTTTCTCCTGTTTGTGTGTTTGTTAGGTAAGGTTATTTTAGGTTTGTGTATTTTATTTTCATTTCAGGGTTGTTTTGTTTGATATTTTGACCTGAGCTCTCCATGAAGTCTTTGAATCAGTCTTTATAGAAAAGAAACTTAAAACATGTCAGAAAATAAACATTCTAAATGTCATTTTGACTCCTCCTCCATTGTCTAGATTTATGTTAGTCCCTTTAAACTCCCAGACCAAGCCAGGGGACGTAACACGTGGTTTCCTCTCACTCCAGCTGTTATAAACCTCCATGACCAGGTTAAAGGCTGCCCCCTGCTGGAGGCACTCAGTCCAGAACCAGTTCAGAACCTGTTCAGAACCAGCCCAGCTCCTCCAGAACAGAACCCAGACTGATCCTACCTGCTGTGCCGCGCTCTGCGATGGCGTTTCCTGCGGCGTTTGTCTCCTGGCGGCTGCGAGGTGATGGTGCCCTCGTAGATGATCTCCACACTGGGACTGCGGTCTTCTCTGGACCTCTTCCTGCTGGGGGGCACACAGAACCAGGACTCACTCTTTTCTGAACATTTTAAATCATTATTTGGTGAGGTGTTTCTCACCTCTCTTCTCGCAGAGCTCCGTTCTCCTGCTGACCCTCCTGCCTCTCCTTCTCCCTCCTCTTCCTCCGCTCCTTCCTCCTCTCCCTCCGCCGCCCCCCGTTCAGCCTCCAGGTGGGGTCCCTGGCGCTGCTGTCCAGGTGTCGGCTCTTGTACTTCCTCTTTCCGCCGGGCTTCTCTGCGTGGTGGGCGCGCTCGGCGGGGGAGCGGCTGGGCGTCGGCGGTGTGCGCTGCGGGGAGAGGCAGAGGGGGGAGG